CTCAGACATCAGAGGCCTTGTTTTTGGCCATGGTTACCATACTCTCCTGTAAGGTGTGTGGGACTTCTGGAGAAACTTATCGGGCATACTTCTCTAATTCCCCTATTATTCATCCTGCATCACTGAATGACACCGGCATCAAGATTTTTACTAATGATACTGCTTTACTGGGGGGCTCTGACTCTTCCCATATTCTTATCAGTTGGCCTCCCTCAATTATTCTGCAAGGTCATTTTCTCCTCCTTTGTATTTATCCCATAATGATGGCATTGCATGTTTGGATGTTCAATTAACTACTCAAATGTCCAGTGCCTTGGGCTTGCAAGATGATTTTACTGAATTATGTTGGCATGCTATTTTTAAGATGGGCTTTCCTAGTCATTATCCTCTTGATCAACAAGGGCCACCTAGGGGCCTTCTTCCTTGTCCTGATCTGGATGAGAAGTTTTATGGAACTCCTCCTTGGATGGACTGTGCATACCCAACACCTGTTAAGCAATCCTTGGGTAGGTAAGGGACAAATGAACATCTCTGGGATTGGTCTCAAAGATGACCTATGTGTACCCATGTGGGGGATTGTGTCACAACTGCAGGGTGGATCTCACCCATATTGGTTACATCTTCTTGAGTGATGCAAAAGGATATTTGGTGGTTGGTAGCAGGTATGGGTCCTGTGAGGGTCTCATCAACACAGCATTATCAGATTGTATATCATGTTGTTTGTATCTCTCCACCTTATCCTTTACTAATAGGTCATGTTGTGATAGCTGAACATAGTAATAGAATCTCTTACCCTTACTAGGACATTACTTGTGAGCATCGTATTTTAACTAATTGTATTAATAACTCAAGACCTCTAGATCAAAAAAGGATACTGATAGTGAAGCAGCCTGCTTTCATTATGCTGCCTGTGCAGACAAATGGTATTTGCTATGACAATCCAGGAATACAGGCTTTACTGGAAATTGGAAAAACTTTGACCAGGTGCAAGAGTTTTTGTCCTTATGATTGCTGGAGTATTGGGTATGGTGTCACTCATTGCTTTTGCTGTGGCATCCACTGTAACCTTGTCACAAAGTATCCAAACAGCTCATTATGTTAATCATTTGGCTAAAAATGTGTCTTTAACACTAATATCTCAAGAAGCTATTGACAAAAAGATTGAGACACGATTTAATGCCTTAGAATCACTAGTTGTTTTGCTTGGGAATGAGGTACAAGCCACAAAAACCGATGTGTCCCTGTGCTGTCACTCGTCTACTAATGGATTTGTGTCACAGCTAAACCTTACAATGTGTCTCAATTGAGCTGGTAACATATTAAACAACATTTAAAAGGAATCTGATCTCATACTAACCTGAGTTTAGATTTAGTTGCTTTGAATCAAGAAATATTAGACATACAAAACAGTAATTTGCCTATCATTCAACCCTCAGATGTGGCTGATCAGGTGTTGGATGCTTTGAATGTTTTTAACCCCTTTAACATATTAAGACACTCATTTTTGATTATGCTTGGAATGGCTCTCCTAATTTTTCTTATGCTGTGTTTATTTCCAGTCTTCTGCTGAATTGGCATTACCAGCTCTTCAAATTGAAAGCAGATCTTCACCACATTCAATTAAAAAATATAAAAGAGAAGAGATGTTGGGAACCAAAATCCACGGTCTGGCAAGGCCATTGTGGTTTAGCAGCATTCTAACAAGGTCAGAATTTGCAGGTGCACCATGTCTCTTATCACTGTGGGAAGGAACACTAAATGATTTCCCTTGACTGAAAAGAAGTTTATACTTAGTCAAGGACACTGGAAGTAAAAATACAGGATGGCAAAAACAGAAAGGTTTTAACTAGGTCAAAGTGCTTTGATGTTTAAGTCTCCTCCTCTTTTGTATAAAGCTTGCTGAGAGAAATAAAATTTTGCCAGTTGGTCATCAGCCTTCTGGCCCTCTTGATTATGTGTCTTGTCTATTCATTCCTATCCCAAGCCCTTTCCAGGTTTAAGACCCTTGTGATCCTGGCACCCTCACCCTTATTCCAACCTTTTGGGCTCTGTACCTGAGAAGCAGCTCACCACCCTATTGACCTCCTACCCACACTTAGGCTTCTGTTCAATTAACAAGTCATGCTATGCTACCTTTAGCCTCTGCTGTGTCCCCACTCTTGCCTTTGCTTTTGAGTCTCTGGGAGTCTGCCAGAGCTGTCTTTATCATTTGCATTTTCTGCACCAAAGAGGGGGCTCCTTCTGCTTTGTCTGTCTGACCTCCACTTGCTGCGTGGTCCATTTGCCTTTTCACTAGATTGCTGAGGGTAGCCACTAGGCAGCATTGGGGATCTCAGGATCAAGCCCTGTGGAGAATCTTTATTATCTTTGAGCATGTGCTGTCATTTCCTAGCTATAAAATGTCAAGCCTTGGTTTCCTATCAGCCTCAGTTTTTCTCTGTAAAATGGGACTGTCCTACTTGGTGAGCTTTGAGTGCTGGTCCTTAATGCAGTGTTCACAGCAGGTTTGTAGTACCTAGAATTGGGACAGGCATGGACTAGCTGCTTGCTGGGGTCAGCCAGCCTCTAATAGTGCTCAATATCAAGGAATAAGTTAATTCAGCTGTTCTAATTATTCTGCAAGATATTGGATTTTTGCCTGCTCAGCATCCTCTTCTCCCTACAGCCACTCATTCCTGAACTGGCCTTAAGTCACTCCCACATCATTTTATCCACTGGCTTCAGGGATTGGTTAGGGATTAGACATGTGATCCACTCAGCCAATAAATTGTTTTGGGTGCTAGCTGGGAATACTCTGAAGGATTCTTGCTCCTTGCCTGGGATTTGATACTAAGTCTCTATCTTGGAACATGGGAGAAAACATGACTGCCAAAGAAGTCAACATTTTAGCCCAGCAAGCTGTTCTTGGATCTTCCATCTGGACTTTTCACCCATCCATACAAATATTTATTGAACAGTGTTCTGTGCCAAGTACCACTCTAGTTGATGAAGACAGAACTGGGGGAAGACAGTTCCTACCTCACAGACAACACAGTACAGCCTGCTTCACTTTGCTCCTGCTTTTCCCTCTCCCTGTACTTCCTTTCCCATAATACCTCCTTGGCTCCCTCCTTGGTCCTTTCTATTACCCACGTCACATAATGACTCACAGGATTTCACCTCCTGGGCCAAATTATACATGCACAGATGTCTCCTTTCATTTCCCAGAGTATTTTCTTCCTCAACACTTGCAACCACCTGCTGCATTCTGTGGAATACTTGGTTTGCTGAGTTTCTGTCACCTCATGAGAATCTCAGCTCCGTGAAGGAAGGATTTTCATCACAGCAGCTCCCTGGAACCTAGAATAGAGCCAGGCATGGAGTAGGTGTGCTGATAGTGAGTCCCAAAAGGGCCCTCTGAGGCAGTGATAATGCCATAGTAGTTTAAAGGTTGCAGAACGAGCCAAAACTTTGAGAAACCCCCAGGCATGGGCACAGCATGTGGCCACTATTGCCATGAGTTCTCTTTGGGTTGAATCAGCTATGGCTAATTATTTATTTGGGGGAGGATGTTTGCTTTCAGACCTCAGAGCTTCTTGTGTTGAACTTGGTAGCCTGTCGTACTCTATAGCTGCCCCTCGAGGGCACAAGAGAGCACCTTGAGTGCACTTGGATTTGCAGTTACTAGCACACTGCAGAAACCAGGAAAATCAGGGACCATTTGATTATGATGATGTTGATGGTAATCAGCCCCATGAAGTAGGTACTATTGTCACCCCTGTTTCCCAATTGAGAAAACCAAGGCACAAGGAGGCCAAGTAACTTACTCTAGATTCCCCAAGATGGTAACCTTCAGCCATTGGGACTTTGATGTGAAGACCTTGGGAACCTCAATAAGGTGTCTGACCTAGCTTGGGGAGGGAGGGTGGGAGTCATGAGAAGTCTAAGAAGAGGGGACAATCAATAGGCCTGAAGAACATGGCCAGGACAAGCAGCCTGTAGAGAGGTCCCCTCAACTGGTCCTCTCCTCTGGAAGTATAGGTGAGTGCACAAAGCCTCCAGACTGACCTGGCAGCCTCTCCCAATAACCTTCACACCTCACTAGCCTGTGGGTCCAGGTGCACTCAGATGTTTCAACCATGACAGGGGGTAGCATTCCTTATTAGGTTCCCAGTGTGAGTGGCCTCTGTCTGTCAGAAAGATCTACCAGGCATCTACCATGAGCCTTGCTTATAGATACAGGAAAAACACAAAGTCCACATTCTCAGCATGCTTTGCCTTCTAGCAGAGGACAGAGATAATATGTCAACAGACTGATACATGTGTGTTTTGTTTAAGCAATGAAGAACAGTGCTGGACCAGGGATGGAGAATGGAGAGGCTGTCAAGGCAGGGGTAATAGAGGAGGAGGCATTGAGCCAGAGACCTAACTAAAATGCAGTTACTGAGCCAGGAAGAGAGAACTGGAAATGCAAAAACCATGAGTTTGAACCTTGCTCCCTCTATTCACCAGCCACCAAGGGACTTGAGCGAGTAACATAAAGAGGCCTGCATAGCTGGAGGGGAGTGAGTCAAGTCAGGAGGTCATTGTACATCATGCAGGGCCTCGTGAACTGTTACCTCATGTGAGGTGAAAGCCCTAGAGGTCTTCTGGCACAGAGGGATGTGAGAGGACATAGGGAGAGCCAGGCCCTGTGCTTGATGCTTAAAGTCCCCTTAACAACACCCCCCAGTGTGGGTCACCTTCACTGCTCCATTTTCAGAGTGGTCAGATGTCCTTATGTCACTGCCCAGGACCACACTGCCACCCTGCAGTAGATCTGTGACCATGATTGGGAATCTGATTCACTGAGAAGGAGCCTGTCACCCTCCAAGGCAAGTTCAGTAAATCTAGTGTGATTATAGAAAGAGGCCTAGACTAAAAATCATAATAAGAATTATATTTTCAAGAAGTAGAAGACATTTTATTAAAAGTGGATTAAATCATTCTATATAATCATGAGTGAATAAATGTATGGATGGTTCTGAAAAACTTGCAACTCATCAATAGAAGTACCCATTTGGTCTAGGATAATTTGATATTTTTCCCACCTCAATGTAATCAACCAAAGATTAATAGGTTTTGTTAAATCGCATTTATCCATAATTTTTACATGTGCTATATATTTTTTTTCTCAATGCATTATAAAGAATAGAGGGTGTATGTGCTTCTAAAATAATGTATCTAGACATCTACATGAATTGAGCTACAGTTTCCTTACAAATCCACCTGTCCACACAGCCCTTCTTCTTCCCATCTGTGGTGGAGTATCCTCAGCTCTCCTTAAGGTTGGTGTGGGGTTCTTGCATGTTCCACTCTCACTGTGGCCCCTCTCAGTGAGCAGAAATACACAGTCAAGTCTTCCAGCTGTGCAGCTGTGATGGTGAGGCCAATGAAACTGGTTGACTTCTGGAAATTCACACTGTTTTGCTCATTGTAAAATTCCTGGCAAATTAAGAAGACCATTTCCCCACTTGGTGGTCCTTTGTACCAGAATATGTAGTAAATAGTATCATGGGTTTCATATACACAGTCCAAAATCATAGCCTCCTTCTCAACCACAGAAATTGCAATTAGAACCTGAGTTACTTTCTGGGCCATACTGGTTCCTGCAGGGAAGATAATAGAAACAGACTGGTAAGTTATTTATAACCAAGGTATATAAGGAAGAAGTGACTTAGGACCCAGAGTGCTGATTCCCTCCCTTCTGAGCCTGATCAGAGAACAGTGTTCTTCTCTCCCCACCACCTTCAGCCCTGTGCCTGGGACATCCTTACCAAGACAGATGGAAGTGACAGCTTCTTCCAGCAGGCTGATAGTCAGCATGGTAGTAGCTGCTCCCTTACTGAAAAGCTCTGTCTAAAATCCATATGCTAATCTGTACCTTGTGCTCAAGAGAGGAACAAGCAAATTACTGGGTTGTGTGATTTGTCTGCCCAACAGGAAACACAGTTAGCAAACCTCAGGCAGGTTCACCTGGGTCTTGTCACATGCTTCCTGTACCAAGGCAGATGCTAGACTCTTTTGAGTATTTGTTGTGTCTCAATTTAACTTACTGGACTGTAAATAATCAGAGGTAATACTGAATCATGCTCAGGTAATTCTTGGATGGACAGTGCAGGTCTCAAGGTTTAATATCAACAACAGTGAACACATTGGGTAGCATACTCATGCATCTGTTTTGGGTTGGAACTTAGGGTTTTGTGCTTGCTAGAAAATCACTCTACCATTTCAGCCTCCCCTCCAGCCCTTTTTACTTTAGGTTATTTTTCAGATGGGGTCTTATGTTTTTGCCTGGGCTGGCCTCAATCTTCCAACCTCCTACCTTTGCCTCCTGCATACCTGGGATGACAAGGCATGTACCACCTCGCTTTGTTTGTTGAGATGAGATCTCACTAACATTTTGTCTGCACTGACTTTGAACCATGTTCCTCCCAATCTCTGCCTCCTGAGTAGCTCGATTGCAGATGGAACCTGCCTCTCATGCACTTTTTGTTCTTACATATGCCTCCTTTTCTCCAGACATTATCAATGTAAATAGTAATCACTGAGTTTATTCCCTAAAAAATGGCAAAACTTCTATTTTCATTCTTTGTTTCTACCTTGCCAGACATGAGATTCAGTAGAAATTTATATGAGAAATTTTATTGTTAATTAATGGTTTTACACCATGCCTCCCACATCACAAGTCTATCAACTGTATGCATGTCATGTAAACAGGCATTTTATACTCACACATGTAGATAAAACATTCATAATATTCTGAGTAGTATTCAAGTACAGAAATTTCAGTTATAACCAAACCCATGTTTTCCTGGAAATTCTCCTGCTCCTTCAAATCATACACAATTATGGCAGAAATTAGGATAAGGAAAACACCAAAATACACAATTTGCAATCAGTTCATTATCAAAGACAAGAGAAACCATGTTAAGATACTGGCTGAAACCAGGCATGGTGGTGCACACCTGTTATCCCCAGATTCAGAAAACTGAAGTAGACAGATTGAATGTGAGAAAAACCTGGGCTACCTAGTGAGGCCCTGTCTCAATAAAAGGACCAGTGGAATTCAAGCTCTATTGGCATTTGTTTCTTGCACTACAGCAGTAAATCATTGACGTATTAAATTAATAAAACTTGTATCAGCCCTCTACATACACAGTCATAAGAGATTAGCTAAAAACTTTGAATTATTTTCCTCACAAATCAATATTTTAACACCATAGATAGAGATATCATTATAGTCTTTTTTCTATGACTAGATTTTTACAGCAATGTAATGTATACTTTCAAATTGAGGAGCTGAGCAGACTGTACAGGGATTTCCAATCCCCTCCACACTCCTGAATGCACAGTCTCTCCCATTATCAATGTCCTGCAGCAGAGGGAAACACTTGTGCAAACTGATGAACCTGCATAACCACATCATTGTCAGTCAGAGTTCATAGTTTCATTAGGATTCTTGCCTGATGGTGTACTTTCTATAGGTTTAGTCAAATCTACTTACAACTATCCACCACTGCAGTATCATACAGAGTAGTTTTACTGCCCTAATGTTATGTAATTAGATGCAATAGTGATGATTGGACACTTCTGTGAATATACTATAAGAATGAAGTTTATGGAATGTGAATTCTATCTCAACAAAGTGTTATTTTAAAATGAGAAACGTAAAAATATTCATATGAATGACAGCAAAAGTGTCTTGATTGCTCTGGTGGAAAGGAGAACTGGGGGTAGGAAACCTGCCAATATGAGGACAGACTGAGGCTATTATATTATGTCAGTCTTAAAGCAGAAGGTGACCTCTATGGGGTTCCAGACACAGAGCTACCACTAAGTAAATCAGGTTTTTATTTTAGAGTCTCTTGCTATCCCAGACCCCAGAAACTTGTGCTGGTAATTTCACTTTCTTTTCCTTACAGAGAACTCAGAAATCAGAGCAGCCCAAAGCCCTGTAAAACATGTCACCAATCCCAGAAGCATGCAAGATGGAGAAAGGACAGCAAGGCTTCGAGACCTCCAGAAGGTCAGGAGAGCTTCTTGTGTGCTGCAGCCATGAGTGGTTCAGTGAAAACACCTTCCTCTGTTTAGGCTGCATAGTGTAGAGAAATGTGGCAGTATTTTGTCCATCTCGAACCCAGTGAACTAGAGTCCATGGGCTTCCTCTCTATGTCTAAACAGACTCCTGAATCCTTCATTTGCTGCTGAATTTCACACGCTGCAAGTGGGACATGAATATAAATAAGAATAAGAATAATATGTCAGTTTCCACAGCTACAGTCATGTCCAGCATCCAGACGATGTCACAGCCTGCATCCTGTAGTCCAGAACTGGGTTGTCCTTTACCATTATAGCAAGACACTGCCAGACTAAGCACAAGGTCAGAGTGAGGGATGTCAGCAGAGTGAGGAAGACATATCATTTTGCCCCTGTATTGACTGGGCTGTTCTGTACCTGCAGTGTCCTGGACAAGAAGACAATATCTCCTTGGGACACTCTCCTCAAAGACTTATTAAGGCAGTGGAACTTCTAGAGCAACTCTGAGGGAATAGAAAATCAAGGGAAAGACAAATAAAGGCCCTGTTTACTGAAGGTGGAATTGCTGCTGTTAAAATCTGTAAGATACATTTCTCTAGTTCCAATTGTGTTAAAACAGCAACCAGATTACAGGCCACAAGCTAATCTGTGAACTCTTTTTCCTGAGAAATATTTCAACATAGACTAACAGGAGCTGTCTATCATATAGCAGTTACTTCTAGAGGAGAGAAGAGACATCTGTGCTGAAAACAAGGCAAACCTGGAAAACAGAAGCTTTATGCTGTCCCTAACCAGTGCCTCTCAGGAGAGTAACCCGTGAACTCCAGAGACCTTGGCTCCAAGGTCTGGAAGGTCTGGAGGAGTCCTCCAGCCCAGAACCGTGAACCCCTCTGGTGTAAACTCACCCCCTCAACTCCTCTCACTGTGACTCAGAATGTAGTAGTACACAGCCAAGTCTGCATCTACATGGAGAATTTCTTCAGGTAGAGGAGCTGAAGCCCTTAGAATGACAGGCCTAGGGACCTGTGCTGCCATCTCTGGGTCTGATGAGCCTCTCAGGAGGAGCTCAGGTTCTTTATATTGATATTGGACATACCAGAAAAGGAAAAGTGGTCAACCGATTTGGAAAGTGTGGTTCAGGGTTTGCAGCTGCCCCCTTAGGGAGGGTGACCCAGCCTTCTTTCTCTGACTCTGAAGCTCTTTGAACATGTCATATTACTTCTTAGAGAGAGGAGACAACTTTTAGCCAATGTTCTATATTTCATCCAACAATCTCCTCCTTTTCCTCTGTCCTTTCTTTTTATTCTTCCTTTCTCCCCTTCTTCTCTATCACTCCCTCTGTCTTACCCACAATATATAAAATTCAATTTAGAAACATCTGTGAATCACTCTAGGGGATTTTTGGACATTGCTTTAACTGTTTAGCATTAGGACCCATTTTTGGCAGCAGCAAATTTTTAGCCATCACTGTCAGGCCCCATTCTAAACGTCCTATCATCCTTTCCTCATTAAACTTTCCACAACTCTGAAAATGTTGCTCTATATTGTTATCATACAGAGTACATAAGCAGCTGCTGGATGGGCAGATCTCGGCTTGACTGGATGTATAACTGTGAAGCTTATTCTCAGCCTGTGCCACTGCCACAGAAACTGAAAATCCAGATACTCATTGTTATGTTGTCACATTTCTACAATACCATATGCTGAAGTCCCAATCCCAGTTCCTCAATGTGGCTGCTATTGAAGATAGAGCCTTTAAATGATGTCTTTATATTGGCCCTAACTCTGGGTGGCTTGGGTCTATGTAAGGAAAGGAGGTTCTGACAGATAAGACAGACAGAAGGATGGTCATATGAGAACACACTAAGAAGGTTGCCATCTACAAGCCAACTGCAGGAGAAATCAAGCTGTTGACATCTTAACCTTTGATTTCTGTCTTCTACAATTGTGAAGTCCTTTCAAATTCATGATTTTTTGAGTCACCTTGAACTAGGCAAAGGGACTGGGATTTGAAATTGGAAACAAATAACAGGCTCAGACCTGCCTGTCCAGGCTATGTGTCCTCCAGCTGCTCAGCAGTGTAGCAGCCTTGAATGTCCTCACTTGACATGAAGCACCTGGATTGCTGAGCTTAGTGGGTCCTTCATGCTCTGATTTCATCAGAGAAAGTAAGGTCTGGGCACTTGTGGAGGCTGAGGATGGACTGCCCAGTACCTGGACTATGTGCAGCACAAGGCTGTAGTGGGACATTGAGATGCTGATGCCAATCCTACAGTCCCCTAGTCCAGGATCAGTGCACTCATCAGGTCTGCAGTGAGCAGGGAGCCTAGACTTCAGCTGAGTCTTTCATGTCACAGCCGAGGAGTGGAGCCAGTAATAAGTAAGGCAAAGATCCAAATCATAGAGTAATGGAGACCAAACCAGTTGTGTGATTTCTGAGCCTTGATTTCTTCATTAGGAAAATGGGAACTCATAAGAAAGTCATAATTTTTTTTGTGTGTGAAAATATTTTAAAAATTTTCATTTTTAATAGAGCAATCACTATATACATATTAA